GCGCGAAGGGGGGAGGCCTGGCGACGCTGCGCCCTGACGGGCGCTCACCGACGGCTAGGGAGGCCGAGACGGCCAGGGAGGAACAGCCAAAATGCCCCCTCGGCTTATAAGCGGGTCACCAATTTTTCCCAGTTCTTTGTGGGAAAATCGGTCCCTCGGCTTATATTCGGGTCGACCTATACTCGAGTATATACGGTAAACCTTTCTCTGGCTCTGGTCTTAGTATTTTTCTTTTTCTCAAGCTTTCTGAACATGATAATTACTGTGTTCCTTTTTCTCCCTCTTTTTCCCCAGTTCATATTAGTCAGGGCATTTCATTTTACCAATGCTTTTTTAACAGCTTCAATTGCTGAGTAGTATTAAAATGCCATCTTTTTATTTCTGTTTGTCATAAGGGATTATTATAATGCTCTTTCATTGGATTCTTGTCTGTTTTCTCCATTAGCCTCTTGTGCCTGTTTAGTTTTATGTATTTACTTAAACAGTTTATATGGCCTCCCACCATGCAGCAGTTAACTCTGGGCCGCTAACATTAAGTAAAGAAAATAGTTATTATTTTTAACTGTTTGTTAGATGTTAACAATCAATATTCAGTGTACCAGATGACCAAATAAAACCTTTTATTTTTACAGTCAGATTAATAGCAACAGGGCTCACTTAACCCTTTAGTTCGAATACTTGAGAAGTAAAGTCAGACCTTTAAAGTTTTGCAGAAGACCAACAGGATTGCAGCCTTGCAAATCTCAGAGGAGATACTGTTCTGCATGACAGAGAAGGCATGTCTCATGGATTCTGCAAAATGACACGGTTGAATAGAGGAGGTCCAGAGCACACCCACCTTATCAAAGCTAGTGGGATGAACAGAAAAGATTGGAGACAAACGGTTCCTATAGGCAGTGCTTTTTTTCTTTAAAAAAAAGGTGCCGGAACTCACACATGCCATACAACCCGCCTTGCCTACCCTACAAGGTTCCATCCAAAAAAGGTGCCGGAACTCCGTTCTGGGCGTTCTATGAGAAAAAAAGCCCTGCCTATAGGTAACCTGCTTTGTACTGTGTAGGGCTTTAAAGGTGACAATCCAGCACCTTAAATAGCACCTGGTGCAGCTCATAGAGCAGTGATGATGTATGCGTGTATCTTGACATGACTCAAACTTTTTGTGGATGATTGATACCAGCCCTTTGATGTAGGCAAGGTTGGAAAATGCTCCACAGGTTTTACTGGAATATTACTGTATTGATATAAATTATAGAAACCACATTTTGAATGCCAGACAGCATTTTCCCTTCCTTCCTTTTTATACCCAAAAGAGTTAATGTAGAACTTTAATTTCCGTGTCACACTTTCTTGTTTCCCTGGGGTGAACTCATATTTTATTAATTTATTTATTACTCCAAGGTAATTTCTGTGGTTCTCAACAGAAACACATAGTCTTTCACAGACATTCTTTCTTTGAACTCTTGCACATTTGTCTTTTCCATCATATTTTTCTTTATCTAGTACCTAATGTTGATAAAGGATATTTGAAATAAGAGATTGTCCAGTGTCTCACATCAAATTAAGATATGGAATGGAAAATCTGAATAAGAGTTTGAGCATTATAATTGATTGGATGAGGGCCAGTGAACTAAAACTGAATCCTGTGGTGCATTGTGGGAAGAAGTATGCAAACATGTACCCAACAGAGCTGATAAATAGGCAGCCAAACTACTACTCAGCAATAGCATTATAGTCTCCTTGCTAATGGAACAATGCCATACGCTAATAATAAATAATAATAGCTTATAAAGCAATTAGGTAGAATTGCTTCTAAATGTCTTGTGAAGACAGCCTTTTTTAGACATTAGTGTTTTTAAATGTGACAAATCAGCATTGTTGTAGTGGAGGAAGCTCCTGGTATTCTGCTAAAGTAGACAATATTTTAAAGGGCTGTAGCTTATCTTGCAGTTTTCTGGAGGATCTCAGGAGGTCGTATGATGTGACAATCTCACTAGCCAGTGGTGTTTTTTTGTTTTGTTGTTTAAATAATATTGGAAGGTTTCCAACTTTCATCCCAATTTTTAAAGTTTTTAATATAATTTCCTGTTTAGCATTTTTAAAAAAAGAAATATGAAAAAATAATACAAACTAATATAAAGTAAGAGAAATAAATAAAAAGTAAGTTAGAAGAAAGCTGAAAGTGCAAGAAAGAGGAAAGAAAGAAAGAAAAAAAGAAAAAAAAGATACAAAGAAGTAGCTTTAATTCAATTACAAACTTATTTCTTACTCTGTGGTTGCAATTTTTTTCATTCTATAATCCATCCTATCTAATCGTCAAAACCATAAATCATAAGTTCCTTTTTTGCTGTCCCTAAAGGTTTCCAGTCAACACTTTGTGTAGATACTATCTTTTCTTTGATCAGAGAAACCAATTTGGCCTTTTCAGCAAGTTCCATCATCTTCACCAACCATTCCTCCTTTGTGAATAGTGCTAAATCTTTCCATCTTTGTGCATACAATAAACTTGCTGCAGTTATCATGCACAAAAACAAAGTTACATGATTTTTTCCAACTGTTTGTCCATCAATTCCAAAAGAAGAGCCTGTGATCTAAATTGTATATTAATCTTTAAAAACCTCTGAATCAGTATATGTGTTTAAATCCAAACTTTTCTAGGTTTTTTTTACGTATCCATCAAACATGATGAAATGTTTCCTTCTTGTTGACATTTCCAATTTAAATTTGAGATGCCTTTATAGATTCAGGACAATTTGTAATATTTATCAACAGTACATCATTTTATAAAATTATCTTTAAGATTATAACATAGTGTAAATTTCAGTTCTTTCCACCACATATTTTCCCATCGTTCCATCTGTATATTGTAATCAGATTTTGTATTCCTCTTTATCATACATTCTTTCACATGTCAATAAAATTGTATAAGTTTTAACAACTACGTGTTCATCATTTGTATACAATTCTGTTTCAAACTCAGTCTAACAATGTTCAAAATCATAAATTCTTTTGTCTACTTTAAATCTTTTTAATAATTGCAAATAAGAGAAACATTGACCACCATATTATTTATTTATTTATCTATCACATTTATGTAGCTGCCAATTATACAAAAGTGACTCTGGGTGTTGTACAACAATCAATAAAAATAATAAATATATAAAAATAATTATAAGCACATGAAAATTATTACAAATTAAAAGTGCTATAAAAATGAAAATATACAAACCATACAGAGTAAAAAGATCAACTACTGTGGAGCTATCTGGATATCTGGTAATGGTGATAACATTTATTCTCATGAGCTTGTTTGGATATTAATACCATGAGAAGCATCCTTAAAGTTGTTCTTATTTTCAAAAATGTGCTTGCTAGGCATATGGGAAAGAACTTTTCTCTATATGGCCATCAATCCATGAAAGACCTGCACTTCCATTCTTTTCATGAAGAGATCATGAAAAAGATTGAGACTCCTCTTTAACAAGATTTTTGGCACTTAATTGATAGTACTTTTAGATGACATTTTATTTTATTGTATTAGATGTTTTGTTTTTTGACTATCTTGAATCCCATACCAATAAAAATATTACTTTAGGAAAAAGAATACTAAATAACAACAATGCTTTCATTTTTTTTCACAAGTACAAATGTTTCTTTGTTATTTAGGAGAAGTCCTCATTTTTCACATCATTTAATTTAACTTTCTGATTTTTCTAGAGCACTCTGACCTCACGAGCAAAAAGCTTGACTTTGTTGCCCCTTGGAACAGCTAGCTCCACATCTCTCAATTCTCAAAAAATTGTAAATCAGAGTGGGCCTCCAGTTGTCACTATAACACATCACAAATCTCCTGTGGTAGCCCGAAAAACCAAACCTGAGTATCCCCACCAGCTTCATGGAGTCAGAGAAGTAAGAATTATGTGAAATTCTTCTATGGGTGAAAATGTGATGTAATCTCTGGAGTACTTGGTTAGATATTTATTTAGACTTTTGTCTTCTTTGTACTATAGAACACTATAAAAAATTAACACTAACAATTTGTCTAAATGGTTGAAGTTCTTAAAAGCTAACTACTAGTTTTTACTAAGTTGTATTGGTAGAGTATTTATGTAAAGCAAATATTTTGAAGTATTTGGGCTGGTAAGCTTTATTGGAGTTTCAAGAGAATCTTTGGGATACTCTCACAAAATCTCTGCCTTGATAAGAGTAGGCAGTCCTAAAATCAGAAAACAGGATGTATCTTTGTCTTTTAATATTAGAGATTTGTAATCATAAAGTTCAGTATTTGATGAGGGAAGAAACTAGAATGATGTGGGTTCAATTTAATATTTTGCCTTTGAGGCAGAATTACATGCGTTCATGGATTTGTCAAATACTTTTCTGTTTAAAATGTCCTTATTTTTTCAAACTTCAAAAGAAAAAACCCCCAACCAAACTGCAATTATTGTTTTCCAATGCAAAGTAATGAGAATGTATATAGTAATGTTTTTTAAAAAGGGAAAGCCTCAACAGTGAAAGCTTTTGCTAATGGAAATGTGGTTTGAATGCTTCATAAAGAGGGAAAACATTGAGGTTATTGATGGTAAATTGTTAAATATAATGGGATAAAAGCTATAGAAACTTTTGAAAGGATTTGATACATCATGGCGTATTACATAACAGTTGAATTTCAGACCTAGCACATAATGTACGTGAGCAATTTGGAAATAAACCTCTGTTTGGTTAACAATGACAGACACTCGCAGATACAGAACTTGTATTATACACATTAGAAAACTACAACATTACATTACGTTTCAACCTAATCGCCATTCAAATTGAGGCACTTGTCATAACGTCTTACAAGGTTTGAAATTCCTTCTGCAAAAAAATCTCCCACCTGGGAATAAAGCGACCTTGTAACAGCATCGTGAACCCATTTGGTGTGTTTTGTGCTCCTCAGAAAGGAGTTTTGGTACCCAACGAGCACAGAACTTGCGGTATCCCAAATTTTCTGTCACTACCTTGTACAAAACAGTCTGAGAAATTTGGAGAAAATGTAAAGAAAGTGCAGATATTGTGAACCGACAGACTTCACGGACCTTTTTGTCAATTTCCTGCATGAGTTCATTGCTGACTACAGATGGGCGGCCACTTCTTGCCTCATCATGCATGTCAGTTCGTCCATCTTTAAACATGCAACACCATTGATGTACGACACCTTCACTCATCACATTTGGTCCATAAACATTACACAATTTGCGATGAATCGCAGCCGCTGAAACGTAAAAAATCAAGCTAGGGCAGGTGTGGGTGTTGGAGGTGCCCCATGCGCCCTGCACCCGCTTACCTCGACCGCGGCTGCCAGGTCTCCCTCATCTTGACACCTGCCTCACCTTGCAGTGGCGGTACCAATAGCCCTGTAAAACAGGAGCCCGTGTGTCCACCGGTGGCCTACTTCTGCGGCCACTTGCTGCTGCTCACACGTGTCGTCCCTGGCCTCTGTTTCATTGCAGAGGCCTTCAGAAAAGGCCTGTGCAGGCCAGGACGGAGGTCCAGGTTGACATGCTTGTCGCTCCCCAGCCTCCATTTGGTCTCTGCCGGCAAAACAGAGGCCAGGGAGTGATGTCCTCAGTTGCACAAGCCTTTCCTAAAGGCTTCTGTTGGCGAAAGGAAGCTCGGGGGCGACATGTGCGAGTGGCGGCAAGCTGCCGCAGAAGAAATGGGCCAGTGGCAGCTGGATGGGGCTGTTGGTGCCGCCGCCGCGAGGCAAGATAGTGAGAAAAAAACACATATAGCCTCCTGCCTTCCCGATCTCCTTCTATTCTAACTCTGATGACGCCGGCAGTTTTTGGCCGGACAAAAACTTAGTGACTCTTCTTAACCACAGGCTTGTTTATATTAAACAGGCTGGTTTATCATATCCTGGTGTTCGTTTTTTCTTTTATTTGTTAACATAATGTCCAGGATTCGCATTTTTAGTATTTTAAAAACACACACACACACACACACACACACACACACACACACACACACACGTCTTATTTTCGGGGAAACACAGGTAGTAACAGCATTCTCCCAATTGTTGGACCAAGATGCTGTCTCTACACATACATTAAACTGGTTGCACTATCCACTCCATAAGCAAACCACGTCCAGTTTTTAACATTCTATTTTTGTAACTTTACTATTTTTTCAATCTTTTCAAAGTGTTTATGAGTTTACCACTGTATTTGTCATAAAATCTTTGTAATAGTCTTTGTAGCATTTTCTCACTTCATTTCATCCCAAATCATTATGAATCTTTATTTTACTTTTAGTCATTGTACTATGGACACATTTAAATTTTTCTACATATTTCATAGCACTTTTTATTTCCATCAAAATTGCCCCTTTCTCTCCTTCTTTTAAGTGTTTCTGTTCTCTTTCAGTACATTCTTTGCAACCATCTTTTACTTATATTCACATTATGTAACTTTCTGTTATTCTCATTTCTGCGACATTTTCATATATGCATTTTCTTTATTCACAGTTTTTTACTTCATCATTTCACCAAGGGTCCTTTTTCGTACTGTACTTGCCATTAGCATGCTGACTTCTATGGCATTCTGTAACATAATTCTCTTTACTCTGTTCCAAGTGATTGCCACATTCTTTTTTCCTTGCACTCATTTTCTGTTTATCCACTTGGGAAATTAATCTGTCTTCTAATACTTTTTCATAAAGGACTGATATTTCCTCCTCAGTTAGTCTGCTTTCACTCTATTTTATTTTACTTCTTACCCATTTAAAATGGTAAGGATTATATTGCATCTCAGAAAATGGGATGCCGTGGAATTAACTTTTTGTGAAATTAGATTTTGTATCTCTATACATTTAAGTAAAATATATATTTGCAGATTATGGCCCAAGTGGAAGGACAGCAGAAGAACTTAGTGCAAGGCATTGAATCCCTTCCAGGTTCTGGTCCTCTTTCTGCCTTTGACCAAGACTTGCTGCTTTTAAAAGCTACCTCTGCTGCTGCTCTCAGTTGCCTGGGAGAATGCCTGCATTTGCTTCAACAGAGTATAAGCCAAGTGAGCGCACCTCGGAACAGGACATTACCTTCAGGTGCGTAAAATTGGCTAGTTTCTTTCATTTTTTGTCCCTTACTGGCCATGTGTTGTTGTAGTTGCCATATGACTAGAGTTTTTCAGTTACACGGTAGATGAAAATTTCATGCGGTTTTTAGTCAAAATTTATCAAAAGGAGATCTTGGAATTTCAGTAAATAACAAACTATGTCAATATTAAAATGTATTTTTATCTTGAGAATAACATTAAATTTTACACAGTATTTATACATGTACCTTATGCGGAGAGAAAATCATAGAGATGTTTTTGTCAATAATATATGAATGTATGCTATACTATTATTTTTGATATTAGATTAATTCAAAGAAATATAATGAAGATGTTGAATCAGTATATTGTATTTCTAAATGTGCAAAGCTGCTGAGTGATTTAGCTGTTCTTGCTAAAGCATTTTTTCAAATCATATGTAATTGTATCTATCATCCATCCATCATCCATCCATCCATCCATCCATCCCCCCAGTAGCACAACTCTGGGAGGCTTACAGGACATAAAAGATAAATAGAAAAGCAATTAAAAATTTAAAACTATGCAATAAAAAGGAACCAAGGAGATGGATGCTTTGGGGATAAGGTCTTCTTATCCCATTAACCACCTTCAGCAGTGAGTGCCCCTACAGAGTCCAAAGACAACTGGCAAAACCAAGTTTTAATGCCCTTCTGGAAGATCAGACAGGTGGGAGCAGTTCTCAGCTCTGTTGGTAAAATGTTCCACAGGGTCAGGGTCACAATGGAAAATACTCTTCTTCTTGACCCTGCCAGCTGGAATTCCTTAGCTGACAGGCTCCATAGCACTGGTGCAAGTAGGGTGGGCCAGTCCCATTGTAAGTAAGATGGCTCCTCAAATACTCTGGACCTATACATGTAGGGCTTTAAAGGTAATAATCAACACTTTGTATTGGACCTGGAAGCAAACTGGTAAACAATGCAGCTTGTGTAACAACAGTGTTATATGTGCCACCTAGAGGCTCCAAGGATTGTGCATGCCACTGCATTCTTTCCCAGCTGTAGCTTCTGAATATTCTTCAAGGATAACCCCATTACAGTACATTGTAGTAATCCAACTGAGAGATGATTAGGGTATGAGTGACTGTGCTCAGGGCCTCATGATTCAGTTAAGGGTGCAACTAGCTAAACATAAAATTGTGCAAAAGCCCTCCTAGCCACGACTGCCACCTGGTCTATGAGCAGGAATCATGAATCCAAGAGAATTCCAAGTTGCGCACTGGGGCTCTCTGGGATAGTACAACCCTATCCAGAAATAAAGATAATAAAACATTGGAACCTGAGGTATCCTGCACCCGCAGTCAGGATTCAGCTGAAGCTTGTTGTCCTCCATCATGACCCCAGGCATTGAGAAAGGACAGCCACAGCATCTTTTGGATCACCAGGATGTCATCAGCATATACTGATAATATTTCATCTCATGGTGTCGGATGATCTCACCCAGCAATTTCATATAGATGTTAAAAAGGAGTGGAGAGAATACCAAGCTCTGTAGCACTGCACAAAGGTGTGGCCATGGACTGGATCTCTTGCTCTCTGTCAATGCTGATTGGAACTGGCCTTGGAGAAAGTAGCCAAACCAGTGCAATACTGCACCACTAGCCCTAAACCCCACAGCTAGCCCAAAAGGATACATTGGTTGATGGTATCAAAAACCACCAAGAGGTCAAGAAGAGCAAGAATGGATGCCTGGCCCTTATCCCACTCTCATCAGAGATCATCCACAAGTACAATCAATGCCATTTCTGTCCCATAACCAGGCCTGAAACCCAGATGAAGGTTGTCCACCTTATCTATTTCATCTAGGGCCCTCTGGAGCTGCAATGGAATAACTTTTTCCACCACCTTCCCTAAAAAAGGAGAGGTGATAAACTGGATGGAAAATTGTACAGGCAGCTTGGGCCTAATGATGGTTTCTTGGGGGGGGGGGAATCAAGGCATCCATGAGCCATGAACACCTTTCCTGCAATGATGTTTTAATCACTACTTGGACCCATCTGCAGATTGCTCCCTGGAGGCTTTTACCAGCCAGGAGGGCAAGGATCTATTAAGGATAGCTGCAAGGAACCTGTCTACTTCCTCAGGTCCAACAGGGTCAAACTGTTCCTGGATAACTGGGCAAGTCTGTTCCCTGGATATCTCTAATGAACTTGCTCCATGCATGATCTCAAACTGAAAGGACTCGAGCAATTTTATCTGTCAGATGTTTGACAAATTCCTCTGCAAAGCCCTGTGAGTATTTTTCTGAGCTTTCCAAGGAGCAACCAGGGCCATCAGGTGACACTCTGTGGATTCAACAAGACTGGAGAAATAGTGATGTTTCGCTGCTCTTGCCATCATAATGTATAGTGGCTTGACTTGTGTTCAGTTGGATTTGTTCTGAGTTTTCTTCCAGCAGCACTCTAGCAATATTTTGGGACTTTTCAGCACCCTCAACTCTTCTGCAAACCATGGGGAGTTTTGGGAGCAATGGGCCATGAGAGGACACATGGGTGCAATCATGTCAGAATAACAGTATGGCACAGTTGGAAGCAATCACTGAGGTCTTCTAGTCCAATACCTTGCTCAGGCGGGAAACCTTATACCATTTCAGACAAATGATTCTCCAATTTTTTCTTAAAAACCTCAGGGCTCTACTGCTTTCTGATTCAAAGTTGTGGCCAAAACCTCCTAGGGCTCCCATGGGACATTCCCCTGCTCCTGGAACCCCAAGCAGATCCACAAGGCCCAATCTATCTGCTATCTTAGATTCAAATTATATTCATTCTATTTTTAATCAAAGAAATGCACTACTGCAAAATAGCATTCTTTGAATATTTTTGAATTTCAACCGTGTCAATTCAAGACAACATTCGTATTTGAGATGCACAATAAAAAAATCCAATGTTTCCCATATGAATCTGAAATCCTACTATTAAAAGTAAACCCCGTATTTCTTACTTAGTTGATCACCCTGGTATGCTGGCTTGGCTCAGCATATGAAATTTTGATTCTATAAATATAAAAAAATCAGATATCAAACCTACCTCATATTTAGCAGCTGTATCATTTTAAATGAAAACTTTGTTTTTAAGCTTTGTTGGAATTTTTTTCCTGCCTATATATGCTTTGACTATATTGACTTGGAGGCTTTTTTGCACTGTTGACCTGGGACTCTGGAACCAACTGCATTGACTCTGTAGATCGCCTATAGTAAAGCCACAGAGATCTAGAGATGATGTTTGCTTTGGTTTCTAGCCATTGGAATGTTTTAAGGCACAAAGCACTAGGCAAGCAAAAAAGCGAAGATTCTGGAATTCTTTCCTTGTTTCATCACAAACAGTGCAGTATGAGCAAGTGACATTTGCAGAATTCTGGACAATCAAATAGTCTTGTCCTTGGAGTAGAAACTGCTTCAACTTTATTTTTAACCTAAAAGACAATTTGTTCATCTATGCCTATATTGTTCTATTTGAAGCAGATTCTTGGCTGTGGTTGCTGCTATGAACGCCAAATGACTGAAGAAATCTCAGGTGCCAGCAGAGTTTTATAAAAGGAATGTTAAGATAATTTTTAAAGTAAATAAATATATTCAGATTCAATTTTAGATGGTTAATAGCACACTGGAATAAAAAAATATCAGAGCATCTGTGTTAGCCTTGGTAAAAATACTAAACTGCTAAATGCCACATACAGTCAAAAATAGAGTTTTCTGTATTAATTTCAAAAGAACCAATTGTATGAAATATTTTTTGTTGGAAGATTGCCATTTACAACAGATACTCAGAGAAATAGATAAATATAGAGACATCTTGATAATTGCTATGACAATAGAAAAGTAAGATGGGTAAGAAATGGCAGGAGAAATTTTTGTCTAGGTCCTTGTCCCATTTCCTTTGGGTTCCTGTTTTTGATTTCATCAAAGCCAACCCTTGCTATTTAATGCCCAAAAGCCCTCCAGGAGGCTGTATCCATGAGAGATTTCCAAGAAAGAGGACCCAAAAGCCAATGTGATTATCACAAGCTTTATTAAAGGTAAATACTTACAGGAATAAACATGCAGTGTCCTTGTGACAGATGGCAGGTTATGTATGCTGTGTTCTACCATGGCATGTCCATGGCAAGAGGCTGGCTTGTAACACTTTTATAGCCATGAGCAAAACAAGATGTGTGCAAAAAATAATTTATCAGTGAAGTGCTCTTCCTATGGACTCCTCAGTTTCTCTGTACTTGGCACAACCACAGTGTGTATTCCCAAATATATTGTGTATCATGCTGTGTATCATTTTTTATACTAAAAGTTCTTGGCAGTGATTAAACATGACATTAGTTTGGTTCAAAGTATATACATGCATAGGTTCTTATAAAAGGCAGCAGCAGGAACTTTTAAAATTACATCTTTCTTATGTTTCTTAAAACTTTCTGGCCAGGTCTGCTGTTCCACAGGGATGTATCCAGATAGAAATATGCTGAAAGATATATTTCTTATCTAGGCTTTCTATGTCGTGGCCCCTGTCCTCACATTGAATAGAGGGAACACACAGTGCAGGAAAGATATTGCAGATTTCTTTTTTCTTCTTTTAGAAAATATCCTAGTATGGCATGGATCAAAGTCAAATTCTACAGAGATACTGAAAAGCAGTGCCCTTGCTTCTTTAACAACAGCGAGTGCCAGTCTATCGTGGTCAGTCATACCATCTGTGATACAAGATGAAACTATGGTAAGTCTCGTATGAAGATAATTCGAACAGCATTTGTAGACCATATTTGAAGGCCTTGCACATGGTAATGAGTGCATGTTTTGGATACTGTCATATGGCAATTTGGTTTAGGTGGCGAACCTATGGCACGGGTGCCAGAGGCGGCACTCAGAGCCCTCTCTGTGGGCACGTACGCCGTCACCCCAGTCCTAGGCCTTCAGCTGAGTTTTATAAAACCTTTTCGCTTTAGGCCTCCGCCGCCATGTGCAAAAAAAAAAAAGATTCAATCAATCAGTCAATTTCAACTTCTCGTGGGAAAAAAAAGATCTTGCAAAGTTGGAATTGATTGATTGAACTTTTTAGTCCCACCCAGTCTGCCATTACCACCGCAGCCATGCCCAACCAATTGGCCACGCCCAGCCAATTGGCCATACCCACCCGGCACTCGACGATGCATAAGTGGGTTTTGGGTTGCAGTTTGGGCACTCATCTCTAAAAGGTTCGCCGTCACTGGTTTAGGTTGTTGTATCTAGGCATGGTAGTTTATATGGTTTATTTATTTATCAAGAAATTAGAATACGTTGCTGGGAAGAATTGGTCTAATCATATCAATGTCCAGTTTACGTCTTGAAAGATTCCAAAATAACATTTTGATACATTTATTTAATTACATAATTGTTGCTATAATATCATCTTTGTTATTTTCTTCTCAAGCCTATGTTTTAGGTAGATAGGAGACTATTTTCCACAAAGTCAGACCATTAGCTGATGCCATCTCAATATTTTTATACGCTGATTGATAGAAGCACTCAAAATTTTTTGATGTAAGCTTTTCCCAAGCCTGCCTGCAATTGCCATAGATTAATTCTATATCATGTAAAGTAATATTCTACAACTGATCTAAAATTGTAATGATCTGCCAGTTTCTGATTTTAGAAATTTTATTAGCAAGAAAATTTTTGTTAGCAAGAATTTTTTTTTAAGGTTGCAAGTTACCTGTTAACACTTGTGTTTGGTAGATTACTTCAGAGAACTTCTTAGTTGTTATTATAGGTCTTTCTTATGCTATATAATAACCATAATATGTGTTCTAGCATATCCTCTTTGGTAATTAGTACTGAAATAAATGGAATACCAATACAGAGCAATCCAACTATATCTTTTTATATCCCATTTTATTTTCCTACTGCCTATTTACTGTTTACTCTTTGGATTTGTAATAATTGGCCACGGAATGCAAATAGGCCATGGACCAGTAGTGGGCCTCGGCCCACAGATTGGAGACCCCTGTTTTAATGGACTAATTAAATTCTCAGATCTAAGCTTGTAAATTTGTGGCTAGCACTTTTTAGGGAAGTACGGCTTTGTAGAGAAAAGCAGTTCAGAAAGAGATTCCTTTTTTAAACAATCTCTCTGCTCTTCAAGGGGCAAAAGGGGGGGAAGGGAAGTGGGTCAGGTACAGGACATTGTACAGAGAGCTTTATCGGAATGAGATGGCAGCATTCAGGGATCTTCACAGCACATCTCTCAGTCATATGTTCACTTAGCTACCATTTTGCTTAAAAATCAAATTATTGGAATGGAATATGGTTGCTAAATGAGGAAAGATTGTAGTACATGTAGTGTAAGAAAGAGAACTTTAACAGGCAGCTCTCTAATTCTCAAATATCTATCTATAGTTCAGCAACATTTGGAAGACCATCAAGGTTTATGTTCTGTGCTCTAGATCAACAGCCTCCAACCTTTTGGATGCCAGGGACTGGTTCAGTGGAGGGCGGTTTTTCCGGGGTATGTTTGATTTCACGTGCTGCCTGGATCTTGCACATGCCCAGATAGGGTCACTTGCATGGCCTAATTCCTGGCTGTCTGTGGAGTGTTCCTGGTCCACAGGCCGTGGATTGGAGCCCCTCTCTAGATAAATATTAAAAAAGTAGAATGGTAATATGAGATGAAGGACTAAAGGAGTCCTCCCCCCTCTGCGTCCCAGGATTTCATCTTAAGAATACTTAAAATCTTATTATTTGAATATTTAAATCTTAGTGATTGACCCTTGGATTTGCAGATACCAATAATTGTAGGATGTTTTGACAATCCTTTTAATATATACACTACACAGAAGCAGGTAACAATAGAAAAATATCAAGCTAAGGTGCTCTTTTCTGCTGAATTGTTTTGAATTTTGAATTTAGGTTGAAATTTTGTAGCGTATTTGAAGTGGCTCCTGGGAAACAGTCCAGTTATGTCTGCTGTATAAATTGTTGTGCTGTTCGTGGAGAAGGTGGGAGATATTGTTCAGCCTTTCTTTTTGAGAAAGAGATTATGAATGGTATTTGCATCTAGGAGCACTTAAGTTATAGACATTTGACTGATAGAATAATTGCTTTTATAATGCAGTATTTTGACTGATTGTCACCATGTTAACGGTCTTCATTATCATCTCTTATTTTCTTACTTAGATCAGCCAGTGTATAGCATATTTTTTATGCATTTTTACTTTATAAAAAACTAATTATATTGACAAATTAGTAACTGCTCCTGCAGTGGCCTCTCATACAGCTGGCACTTTCTAAGTCCTTTCAAGTAAACCTGGTGACTATTCTCCAGGCATTCCCATCATCTAGACTCCTTTTAAGAACTCTTTATGTACAGTACTTGTACTTTCCTGATCAAGTTACACGGAACAACAATGGATCAGATGACAAACAACTTGCTGCATTTAGTTGAAAGTTTTATTAAAAAGTTTGATGAGGGGATAATGCTTGTGGAGATATTTAGTTTTGGACTATAAGATACTCAAAAGGACTTTGATTTGAACCAAAGAGATATCCTTACAGCCAGAGAACTGAGTCGATTTCACACTCTCTTTAAAGCGCAAGTCTGCATTTTCTCACAATGTTAGTAGTCTGACTGAACAGGAAAGTGGCAAATTCTTTTTGCCTACAAAGACTAAGGGAGATTGGACAATGGAATTATTACACCTAGCTGGAAATCACTTCTCTCTGGACTTTGGTGGGAAGATAAACTCATTGTGGAGACTAAATTTATTATACTTAATTAGACAACAATAGATAAGAGATGGCTTTAAGAAGCAAATGTTGATATTTGATCCAGGAGGAATTACTTTTAATTTTTGGGTGATTTGGGATAGATAAGATGTCATGGTAAATTTTCTATGAGTTATATATTAATCAGTATTCAGTTGGGAGGAATAGCACTAGCAATAAGACTTATATACTGCTTCACAGTGCTTTTATAGCCCTCTCTAAGTGGTTTACAGGGTCAGCATATTGCCCACCCCCAACAATCTGGGTCCTCATTTTACAGACCTCGGAAGGATGGAAGGCTGAGTCAACCTTGAGCTGGCGAGGCTCGAACTGCTGAACTGCTGGCAGATGGCAGTCAGCAGAAGTAGCTTGCAGTATTGCATTCTAACAACTGTGCCACCATGACTCTTCCACGACTCACATACACAGATAGTATGTATGTATGTGTGTGTGTGTATGTATATGTGTGTGTGTATATATATGTGTGTGTGTGTTTTAAAATGCACCTTTTTAATGTCAAATTTTGTGGGGGAGGTTGTTTCTGTTGGTTTTTTTGGAATTTTTTGTATTTTAGTTTCGAATAAAATAAAACATTTGAAAAAAAAACCTCTTTATGGGATCTACTTCTGTACTTCCAACTGCTTAGCCTCCATGTTTTGTGCCATTGTGTTGATCACAACTTCCTTCCTGCATGGTATAGGACAGTGGTGGCAAATCTATGGCACACGTGCCAGAGGCGGCACTCAGAGCCCTCTCTATTGGCACATGCACCACCGCCGCCAGCAGCAGGTGCATCAGGCCACCACTGCCGCCCGGAGCAGGAGCCCCGCCCAGCATAAAGGAGGCGAAGCGGCCGACTAGCAAGCTCGAGTAGAGGTGGTAGAGCAGAGGTCACCAACCATTGTCGATTGGTGGACTGAAAGAAAAGCGAGGGGGAAGCATTTTACATGCGTACATGCGTGCACAGGGCCGCGAGCACACACGTGCTGCAAATGGGGCGGGGCTAGTGCCTGCATGATACTCACTAGCCCTCCCCCGTTCTTGCATGGTGCAGTGCCTTGTATCTGCACCCCGCGGCATGGCCGTTTTTGAAAGTGAAGGAACAAATTCACAAACTAGTAATTTTTGAAAATGAAGTTTTGCCTGGTATCTTATAAAAAAGAATAATGCTATACATAATGCTATACATAGAAAGGAGTGACTAAATTTTAACTTTGGCAAGATAGAAATGTTTTTAATGGAACTGTCAATCTGTGAAGGGACATTCAGCTTCTATCACTTGAGATAGGATTCTCCTTAAGCACTTTGCTTGGTGAGTTGTTGATGTTTTTGGATTTGATGTCTAGCTGTACCCAGGACTGTAAAAGATAGAAATGGCCATAGTGATGGTTTGAGTTCAGAATGGAGAAGGAGAAGACTTTACATTGGTGCTCTAGTAATGGAGATGTTTATTTAGCATCAATTTTACATATTTCAAGCCTCAGGTAAAGTTTTTTTTAATTGATACAAGTATGTTGAGAATTGTTTTTAATGATTTTAATTTGCTGCCTTTTACTTTAGTTTCAGCAGTTTTTTTGTTTTAAATTTTGGTTTATTATTGGTGTATTATCTCTATCTGTCTGTCTGTCCGTCCGTCCGTCTGTCTGTCCGTCCGTCCGTCCGTCCATCCATCCACTCACTTACTTACTTACTTACTTATTTACTTTTTATGCCACCCATCTCTCCTTTTAGGTAACTCTGGGTGGCTTATTTTAGTGTGTGTGTGTGTGTGTGTGTGTGTCATATGTATATATATATGTATATATGTGTGTGTGTGTGTGTGTGTGTGTGTATCCCCACCTAGTAGCTCAAAAGCATGCAAATGCAAGTAGATTAATAGGTACTACTTTAGTGGGAAGGTAACAGCATTTAATGCGCCTTTGGCATAAAGCCATGCTAGCCATATGTCCACAGAAAATGTCTTCCGACAATGCTGGCTCTTTCAGCCAAGAAATGGGAGGAGCGCCATGCCCTAGAGTTGGACACAACTGGACAGGGATCACTTTACCTTTAATTATATATATATAATGTAGGGTATAAACTGGAGCTGAGAGCTGAATAATGTTTTCAACTCATTTTGTGACTTCCAAACCGAGATGTTTACAGGAGAATTAAAAAACAATGTGATGGCTACCCCAACCTTGCAATTTGACCTCCTCACCAGCAACATACATAAAATAACAAGCATGCTGTGACTACCATCTTGCTTCTTTCCAGAGACAAGATTTGCTTGGTATTTGCATATCTCTTTTAATCAGTGAACACAAGAGTGAGGAAGGGTAGACAGACAACCAAGATATATATTTTGCAAGTAAGATTTAAATAAAAGTAGACTTAATTAATAAACATCTGGGGAAGATTATCTTATCCAGGTGCACATTATGAAAGTAGATACCCTCTTCTTCCCATGCAAATATTTGTTAGAGTTTGAATTCCTGAGGTGTTTTTTTTTGTGTACAGGAGAAGGATTGTATATATATTGCTATTGTTATACATTATCTGTTGTGAAAATGGGAGATATAAACATGTTTCCTTCCTCCATTGGATTGGAACTTTTTTATTATTATTAAAAATGTTTACATAGGTCAGTGCTTTTTGGGGTAGAATGAAATATGTTTAAGGACAATTTCTCCATGTATCCCTAGCAGCTTAAGGCAAACTGTCAGTTCACATGGCCATTTGGGATAATTAATGACATGTTTCGCACTTTACCCTAACCTCCATGCAAATGATGTCAGGAGGCTTCTAAATGGGGCAAAATTTCAGTCTTCTCTCTAATTCCCTCAGTTTAATTGAGAAGTCATGGAGTTTACAGGCAGGACAATATATTTTCAGGTAGGACAATATATGTCCGGTTCCTTATGCACATGGATATTACAGACCCTTTATATCCCCTCCTGAAACAGATAATGGGCTTTCTTCATTACAGTAGTCTTTGACTTACCACTGTTCATTTCATCATGGTTCAAAGTTATATTGGCCTTGGAGAATATAGTTACTTACAACCTGTCCTTGAAGTTAAGATCATTTACTACCCTTTTGGTCATGTGATTACAATTTGGATGCTTCGTAGTTGGCATTTACAACGGTTATATTGTGATCACATGACTATTTGCAATCTTCCCAACCAGCTTCTGACAAGTCAATTGGAGAAGTAGATTCGCTTAACGGCTGAGTGATTCACTTAATGATCATGATAAAATGGTTATAAAATATGGTCTAATCATGTGATGACTTGTTTAATGACTGTATCACTTAGCGACCATAATTTCTGTCTCAAGTTTTTTTGTAAGTCGAAATGTACTGTACCATGTAAGTCAGTGTTTCTCAACCTTGGCAACTTTAAGATGTCTGGACTTCAAATTCCAGAATTCCTCATACTGCTGGGCAATTCTGAGAATTGAAGTTCTGACATTTCAAAGTTGGTAATGATGAGAAGCACTGATGCAGATATTTCATTAATTAGTAACTTTAGCAAGCATTGAATAAGTAACTGTAAACTCAAGCATGTGTGCAGTTGAAATGAGACAACTTTTGCAAAAGAAAATGCTTTTAGGATGCTAAAGTGTGTTGCTGGTTCTCTTCTATTTTTTAGATTGAAAATAAGGGTTTATAAAAAAAGAGAAAAAGCATTTTCAAAGTGTGGAGATATTTTCCTTTTTTAAAAAAAACCACTAGACAAATCCTGTTTCCTCATCCAATGCTGCTTTCCTCCATTGGTTAATGCAGGGCTTTTCAACCTTTTCATCCATTGTATCACTTTTAGGATATGGCAGTATCTGAGTACCACCAGTTGCCTAGCAAGGTGTCAAAAACTTGATGACCCAAAAAAAAAACTAAAAAAAAAAACTGATGAAGTATAGGTAGTCCTCGACTTACAACAGTTCGCTTAGTGACTGTTCGAAGTTACAATGGCACTGAAAAAAGTGCCCCCCTAGCCACAGTCGAGCAAGAAACCTGCCTGACCACTCGACGGCGCTCTTCCTCCGAGATTTTCATTGTTGTGAGCATTTCTGTGGAGGATTGGCAGCGGGGGTGGAGTGGGAGGTGTTTGGTTTTTATTCCCCCTATCTGCTGGGTGGTTGCAGCAGGTTTTGGTTACTTCACATGACCCTCGGACACTGTGACCATCATAAATATGAATCAGTTGCCAAGCATCTGAATGTAAATCATAAGACCCTGGAGATGCTGCAACATTCCAGCTGATTGGTGCTTCTTCTGGACTCAGCAGAAGTGCCAGGATCAGCGCCCAGCTCCAGCTGGAGCCTGGCGTGGATCCTGATACTTCCACTAAGCCCTGACAGTCCCGAAGAAGCGCTGATCCTGGCGCTTCCGCTGAGCCCTGACAGCCCTGCAGCTCCAGCCATCTCTCGCTCAGGCTTGTGCGGTGCTGCCACTGGTTCAGCTCATTCCCCTCCCCCGCTACCACTTTTCTAGGATGATAGCGTACCACCTGCCAGATGCCAATGTACCACAGGTGGTACCTGTACCACTGGTTGAAAGGTTTTGGGTTAATGCATAAGTTTCATTCTGTATTACGAAATACTTGCACAGATGCTTCTTTATCTTTTTGAAACTATACTTACATTTAAACTATATTTAATTCAAAAGACTAATTGGTGGAAGCATTTGTGAGCAGTAATCAAGAATGACAATTAGCAAAGTTGGATCATAGAGCCATTTTAAAAAATTTATTAGAAAATTTAGACAGGGATATGATGTTAATAAATCTAAGATTTTACACTTTGCACAGGTGTTATTTTTGTAATTATAGCTGTGATTACTGTTTATGTGCTAATTTTGTTTGTGATTGGATCACATTTGGGGTGGGTGTATTATAAATAAATTTCTATTTATTACCAGTATCACACCAATAATTTCTAAATATTCTAAGGTTTCTCTGTTCTCCATAGTAGTTCAAGTATCCATCCTGAAAAAAACTACTTTTTAAGTTCAACCTTCTCCTGTTTGTGTGTATATATTAAAAATATGATTTTAAAAATAATATACTATGCTATACCATATACCATAATACTATATTATAAGAATTAACTTTGATATTACTGGCCACAATTTAAATTAAAGTTTAAATCTTAACCAACAGATCCAATCCTGAACAAGAAACACTAATGACCTATGACTTGCATTACATCATTGTAGTTGATTATGACAGCATAAATGCAACTTGTCCTGCCCATAAAAGTATCCTGTTTTTGTTTTTAAACAGACCAGCTCTTTCCAGCCTCAGTATGACCATTATTCTCTCTTACCTATTTTCAGATTTTAGCTCAACTTTTTTTCTTGCTCTGCTTTTTATCCTAGCAATCATTTATACAAGTTTTCCATTCCTCTACCTATAATTTCTCATCCCTTTCTCCTTTATTTCATCCTTTCTTCTCATATCACTGCTAAATTATTTAGCTTCTTTTCAAATCTGTAGCTTTAATTTCTCTGTGTTAATTATTCTGATGTTCTTCACCTGTTTTCTTCTGCTTTGTCAGTTTACTGAAACATTTCTAACTTTCGAGATAATGTTACATTAATTTTCCAATCTCTGAATTTCTTTCCATTTTGATCTACATGGTCAGGATCGCAGGCATTGCTTTCTATTGTTAGAGTGCAACCAATTTTCCAAGGGATCAAAAACAATATGGGATAATCCTAGTATATCATCAGGCCAATATATCTAGCACAGTCTTCTCCCTGATGGTGCTAGAGTTTTATATGGCCTCTTGCCATTCAAGTTCTCTCCCAGGGACACCTTCATATTCTGCTCAGGTGAGTAATATGACTGTGTTGTTCCTAAGTATGAATGCGTTGTTCTGCCTTCTAATCTTTGGAGTAACATAACAGAAAAAGAGAAAGACTCTTTTAAACATACTGATCGTTTACATGTAAAGCAGTCTGGTTTTATTTTGATCTGTCTAATCCAGTGGTGGCGAACCTATGGCACGGGTGCCAGAGGTGGCACTCAGAGCCCTCTCTGTGGGCACGCGCGCTGTCGCCCCAGTCCTAGGCCTTCAGCTGGGTTTTATAAAACCTTTTCGCTTTAGGCCTCCACGGCCGTGTGCGGAAAAAAAAAAGGTTCAATCAATCAATAAATTTCAACTTCTCGCAGGAAAAAAAAGATCTTGCAAAGTTGGAATTGATTGAACTTTTTAATCCCACCCAGTCTGCCGTTACCACCGCAGCCACGCCCACCCAATGGGCCACGCCCAGCAAATGGGCCACACCCACCCGGCACCCGACGATGCATAAGTGGGTTTTGGGTTGCAGTTTGGGCACTCGGTCTCTAAAAGGTTCGCCATCACTGGTCTAATCAAAAGAATACTGTTAAGAACCCTTAATTAAGTAAATTAAAATGTCAAGGAACCCTCACTGCTAAGTTGCATACATTTTTAAGCAGAGAATTGTGTGAATCAGTATTTTGTTGTGGCTTGTAGTTGATATAAAAATAAACATTTGTTTATAGCAAATTAAATAAATAATAAACATATTGTGTCAACAATGTATATCTGAGAAGATTAAATAGCGTGGTACATTCATTGTTAACAGAGATATAAAAGGATTTCTTACTGTTTATCTTTTCTGTTATTGTTTGAGGAATGAAATCCTTTATAGGCAACATACTTGTGGGATACTGTTACCCTGCAATGGACAGCTAAATAAATAACTTGCTAGAATGGTACTGCTCTAAATGTATTGCTATTTGAACCACACAAACGTAACATCTGCACAGTCAATTAAAAAGTTCACAGGAAAGGTGGTGTTTTGTGAAAATTATTTAGTACTCAAACTGAAAGTAGAGCTAGATTATATTAAGTACACTACACATCTATTCATAGAAATCACATTATATAATCTAATTTTGACATTTATAGCTTACAACTAAACCTTGCTTGCATAATTATTTTAGGGTGACATAGATACTTTTTTGTTTTTATTTTCTATTATGACAGTATGTTATATGCTTGCTGTTCATGATGCCCAAAACCATTAAGATGATTTTATATATTTATATATAACGATTCCAAAATGTTTGTAAAATTACCCAAATGAGTAAACAGAAAGTAAGCTAGTTTTTTTGCAAAGAATATTTCAATTATATTGAACTAAATAGATTTTATTTTGTCTGATTTTTATATTGTTAATCAGTTTAGATGTTTTAAAAATTGACTCCTAGCTTGTAATTTGTGTAGGAGTTCTGATTTCTATATTCCGTGATATGACAATGCTATGCTCAAATTATTGTTATGGAAGAAAGACCTTCTACTGTTATTACTGGATTTTATTAAATGCTGCTCACTAATGGGTGGTTATTCAACAATATATATATATGTGGAAATTCTTCAGTCAGATTATATCTGTGGGTTTGCCTGTGGTGGTTTTTAGGTATCAGTTAGGTAATCAGTTGGTGGTGTGTGGAGCTGACCATAGGACATTTTTATTTTTTTGTAAAGAAGATGAAAGTTTATGATAATGAGAAGTTCAATGAATTAAGTAGAACTTCCCTTCCCTTCCCCTTTCCTTATTTTTACCCTCCTCTTCCAATCTCTGCCAGCCTAGATTGAACAGATATTTTCTGGATGTTCGGAACTCTATTATTATAATATAGAGTATAGTAATAGAATCTTGAAAGTTTAGCAGAATATCCCTGCTTTATCCCCCATTATAGCAAATTATAGAATTAAGGTAGGGTGATTTTAGGTTTCTTTCTCATCCGTTCTTCTTTCCTACAGATCGAATTGCTGTTTACTTCGGGGTTCCTGCATCCCTTCTTTAAGATTATCTTTGTACTACTCTGTATATCTACAGCTTAGCTTTTTTCATCTTATTTTAGGACACGAAACTCTGTCAAGAATTGGATCTCTGTCCCAGTGTTAGAATCAACACCTAATTAGTGTTGAATCTTATTACTCATAATTGCCTAGGTTTGCTAACGGTCCCAATAACTCTCCAACAGTTTTCTTTCCAATTTCAGAGTTTCAGAGTTCATAACTTCATATGCATCCTTCTGTCTTGAAAGTATTTGAAAGAGGAACATTCACTCAGTTGACTGGGTGAGCAACAAAAGTTAAATAGTAATACAATTTTCCTAATTGTAATTCGCAGTAGAGTGATTCATTAATTTGCTTCCAAGTGGCAAGATATTGCCATGTTCTGGCTTATACTTTACAGTTTCATCCAAAACTCTAACCTGTGAGGATTATTTTTCTACATTCATATTTCCAATTGAACAACTCATGACATATCCAAGCTTTTGCTTTTAAGTGTATATACTGTATGTGTATTTTTTTTATGGTAAACACATTGAATGTATTGATATACACTTATCTCTCATTGGCGTGATCTCATTGAGCCCTATTGATATTAAGCTATTTAATAAAGCTTGAATCTGACAGTTCATTTTAAAAAGACATTTCACATTGCAAGAGTTTGATTTTTTTTTCCATGTGCTTATTCTGCTGGATTGTGAAATTGTTTGGCCTTTGTTTTGACGCCAAACATTAGAATCTCAAAAAAAAAATTTTTAAAAAAATTAGGGAGCTTTAATCCTAGCTTGAGGAAAAGATACCAAAAGAAGGAAGAGAAACGTAAGCATATGCTTACCAGTTTGATGCTTTCTAATGAAGGCATTTTATTTCATTTTTATCACTAACATTTTTATTCATTTTCAATTTTATTTTTGTCATTGACCAGCATAAATCTAATAATATAACAATTGCTCTAAAATAGAAATAGAAATAAAAAATCATATTGATATCACAGTGTACAGGAATTAAAATGTGAAAAATTACAGAATTACAATTTTACAATGAATAATCTAAAAGCTATAAATAAACAGGATAAACTATAAAAGGACATGAGTAAATATTAGAATTTGTAAAACACTATGAAAATGTTAAGCTATGCTATCTTACATCAAGTCTAAGATTTGCTGGAGCCCTAATAGGGTTTCTTGGGTTTAACATAATTTAGGGTTTGTTGGGTTTAACCAAATATAATAAAGAAACAACAACATAAAACATAAAATAGTATGTGTATACTATTTTATACACTAGAGAAAAAAAGGGCAGCAGGGAGAGAAAAAAAGTATGAGAAAATATATTGAATTTTGGAGACTTAGTTGAGACACAGACTGACTTGGAGGAGTTGTTTGCATTGAATCATAGCTCTGACAGAGAACCAGACTATTGTTTGAAATCCCTGCCACCTGATTAGCTAGCAACAGACTGAAGTAATTTTTTATTAAAGACAATGGTACAACACATGACCCACAATTTCAATTTCCCCCTCACAGCGAAGACTGAGCTTCAGCTTTTTTGGTATACTATAACAGTAAGCAATTATTTTTCCCAAGAGGAAACGTGAGAAATTAGGACTATTGTGGACAGCCGCTGCCCCCTGCCCTTGCACCCATGAACCCTCCTCAGCCCCCACTGCCACTCTATCCCCACCACTGTCCTGCCCCTGTCAAACAGGAACAGCTAAAGGGCCAGATATGGCCTGCAGGTCATAAAATACCCAGGTCTGTTATAGTATCTTTCCTCTAAGAGGGTAGAGGGGAGGACACTACAGTAAAAGTTCTTCTAGTATTTTGGGGGCAATATTATAGAATATCAGGATCAACATTTTTTAGTGTTTTTAAAGAATGCCATAAGCTTATTTGAATATATACCAGTGATGGCGAACCTTTTAGAGACCGAGTGCCCAAACTGCAACCCAAAACCCACTTATGCGTCGTCGGGTGCCCGGTGGGTGTGGCCCATTTGCTGGGTGTGGCCCATTGGGTTGGCATGGCTGTGGTGGTAACGGCAGACTGGGTGGGATTAAAAAGTTCAATCAATTCCAACTTTGCAAGATCTTTTTTTTCCCCTGTGAGAAGTTGAAATTGACTGATTGATTGAACCTTTTTTTTTTTTTTTTGCACACGGCGGCGGAGGCCTAAACCGAAAAGGTTTTATAAAACCCAGCTGAAGGCCTAGGGCTGGGGTGATGGCGCGCGTGCCCACAGAGAGGGCTCTGAGTGCCGCCTTTGGCACCTGTGCCATAGGTTCGCCACCACTGATATATACTATATTGTTTTATTTATGTCCAGAATACTAACTATATTCTATCTTTTAGCATACAACCCGTGAAGTGATTCTGGTTGAAGATGAGGTGACAGATACCGAAGACAATGAAGAGGACGATCTAGGAGACCTGGATGATCAGCGTAGTATAATCCTTCATATTATCTCACAATTGAAACTTGGGATGGATCTAACCAGAGTATGTAGCTCAGCCATTTTAGAAATTAAATGTTTGTTTCAATCCTTTTTCTGACATTACTACATATCTGTGATACTTCCTATGATGATGTTTACTGCTTTCTAATTTTTGCTTCAGTTGCATATATACAAAACCTTTAACTTTTTAAACAGGTAATATCTTTTTCAGAGACAGAAAGCTTTTACATTTTACATTCAGTCTTATTATAATGTGAAAGTAACCATTCTTCTTCATAATTCACAGTCCTAGAATCAAAACTGGCTTTTAAAAATATTTCTGATAAACTGTATTTGTTTCCAGTTACTCTTGGGAAGTATCTGGATCCTTGCTATTGAGATATATCTACTTCTAGAAAAATTTTTCATAAAGAATGCTAAACTAGATTTTTGGCATCCTACTTTTTTAAAAAACAAAGTAATGAAACACATATTTGTGGAAAATGAAGAAAACTGTTTTTTTATAGAATAAACTTCTAACCTTGTAGCTTTTGATAATTTCCTCAATTGTTAAACCATATACTTATATATTGTAAATGTTCCATGTGTACTTTAGTATATCTTTTTAGCTTGCTAGGCAGGTGAAAATTAAATTTTTATTTTAATCCTTTAGTTAATTAAGTTAATAACAGTTTATTTTATTAGAAAGTCACATCACTCAAATTAATCATTTCCACTGATTTAGAACACTGATTTTAAGCCTCTGTATAATTTCTAAAGGAGAGGTTTGAGGAGATCCAAGATACATAGAACAAAAATTTATCCAGGGACAAAGTGAACTTGAACCTTTGAAAACAATCTAAATCTGGTCCATAGAAGAGAACTCAAGGTTAGGTAAATGTGGTCATCCTTCACAGACAATTCAAATCATTACTTTGCATCGGAATTCCCCCCCCCCCATTCCCTCGGACCAGAAACCAAGCTTGTAAAAATGAAGTTTGAGGTGGATTCTTTGAATACTAATCTTCTCTCCTTGTGTCAAAAACAGAAACAATGAGATAACGTAAATTCATTAGAACTTGGATAATTTTTTTTTAAAAAAAGAGATTCCTTTTCCTCAATAGTTATCAAATGCCAGAGGACCTGAGACTGGGATAGCTTTCTGTTTTTATGCTAAAGATCTCATATGTATCTTTCCAATCTGTAAGAACTGCTATAGTGGCAAGCAAGTGCAATTGTTAGCTCTGCTTAACTAGTTTGCTTTTTGAGTGCTCATGTAATTTTCTTTTATACTAGCTGTTTATATAAAAGTATTAAAAACATTAACAGTTATTTTGTCTAGTTTTCATGTATTTTAAAATGTTTTAGTTTTTGAAAAAATCTTATATATTAGAAAGTAAAAGATAAAGAAAATGAGCCTAGCATTTCATCTGTGCATTAATAATAGGATACTGAAAAAATCTCTAATTAAATTGGCTTGTTCCGTTGAATGTGTATTTGGAATATTGAAAGGTCAGCAAATAACTTATTTTGATCAGTGAAAAAATTGAATGCACCAGTGTTGAGACCACTTTCCTGAATAATGCATGAAAAGAAAGAGCTTGTTGGATTGATCTCATCTAGTGAATCTAATACGAAGGGCTATTTGAAGTAGAGACACAAATGAAATGTGTAATGTTGCTTACAACATGCTAGAATAAAAGGATAAGATAAGATAAGATAACCTTTATTGTCATTTTTTTACTGTGGGCACAACGGCACACATCAAAAATGAAATTTAGTTGCCCGCTCTCAAAGTGAAACACATACATGACACGCACCTAAACATATTATGTACAACATATGTACAATATTTAAATATTATTACCTGAGGACAGGATGTAAAACATCTAATCTGAATGAATAATATGGTAGCAACAGAATGAGAATTAATAATTTTATTTATCTCACTGATAGATTTAAATATACCTAGCTAATTAATTATGTGTCTTTATTAATATTTTCTTTGATAATAATATAGGGAAGAGGTGTTCTAAGTCTAAGGTCTAATAGGAATTGGAGAAATGGAGTGATTTGCATAATTATCTAGTATAACATTGGAGGTACTGCTTTTGTCTTTATTCTTGAATTCCAAAAAGGAGAGAAAAGATTGATGTTTGCATTCTGCAAAGAATTGATGGTAACTTGATCTTTCCCACATGCGGTTATGGCAAAATGATTACTTTCTTTTTACTGTACTCTATATAGGTAGTGCTTCCAGCCTTTATTTTAGAGAAGAGGTCTCTGCTGGAGATGTTTGCAAACTTCTTGGCCCATCCAGACTTGTTTTTATCAGTTTCATGTGGAACCACTCCTGAGGAAAGAATCATCTCCTTCGTGGAGTACTATTTGACAGCTTTTTATGAAGGCCGAAAAGGAGTTGTTGCCAAGAAGCCATATAACCCAATAATTGGAGAAACGTTTCATTGCTCTTGGAATGTGCCTAGGGACAAAGTAAAACCAGTGAGAACAAACACTGCCTCTTGTGGTCTCAAGGGGCAAGCTTCATCTGAATGTTATAGGCTGAAATTTGTAGCTGAACAAGTGTCCCATCATCCACCAGTAACTAGTTTTTACTGCGAGTGCAAAGAGAAGAAAGTGTGTGTGAATGTGCACGTATGGACTAAAAGCAAATTCATGGGGATGTCTGTAGGTGTTTCTATGGTAGGTGAAGGTAAGAAGTGTCACAAAGAGATTATATTTTATATAGAATGCTTATTAAAAAGAATAATAGGAAAACTTGAGAATTTCTTATTCTCCCCCCCCTTTCTCATAATTTACATGGAATAAAAGCAGTAAAGCACTTGATGCAATGTTCAGCCTCCAAACACAAAAATCAGTAGAAATGCTATTTAGATAAGGGTTGAGTGGCGATACATTGAACGCATGGTCAGAAAAGGGAAAAAAATGGTTAATAATTTGTGGTTTGTTTTGTTAAAAAATAAGATGTATAGTTCATGTTAATATTCAATTCTTAAAAAAAATGTATAGATATACCATGTTTCCCTGAAAATAAGTCTGGGTCTTATATTTATTTTTGGTCCAAAAGACCCATTAGGGCTTATTTTCGGGGAATGTCTTATTTTTCCATGTACGGGAGGCGGTAAGTGTGTGGGGGCTGAAGTGTCCGGCAGCACCCGCAGCCCGCTGGCCTCTTGGCCAGCGCACTCTGGAGCTGTGAAGCCCATGCAGCACAGGTAAGTGGGAAGGCGGTGGCCACAACGGCTTATAGAGCTTCCCAGAGCAAACGCTTGGGAGGTGACGGCAGTGCCAGCGGAATGTGCCCTTTAGGCGAGGAGGAGAGTGGCGTGGACAGGCGGGGGCAGCCAAAACGTCTACCCTAGGAAGCCCTGTAAGCCATTTATTCTCTCCATCGATCCATCATTTTTCCCCCCTTCTCTCTTTTTTCACCCTTTTGGACACAGGGATGATGCCCAGGTCATACAGAGGGGCTGCTCAAATTCTGGACATTATACTGTGGAACTGACATTGGTATTGGTTGCAACAATTGTGATCTTTCTTCTTTAAATTGAATAGTATCTGTGTGCAGCAAACAAGGTCCAGTGAGCTTGCTATTGGGAAGGAAGAACTGCCTTCTGGGAATGTTCTCTTCCATTCCAGGATTATTAGGTTTTATGTATCTATAGTGCATGTACCTAGATTAATAATACTGCATTAATAATCCAATTAACCTTTGGATTATTCTTTCCTAGTAATTTCACTTTTAGTTTGCAAAGGGGAGAAGATCAAATTGTCTAATACCTCACAGAACAAAAAGCCTTTAAGTACCCAGCAGCACCTCCTGAGATTAATTAGCCCTAGGATTGATAGCATCTCTTATTTATAAATTGATTCTAATATTCAAGATATCTCCTTTGGATTTCCTGTTGTAAGGATGAGCAAGCTGGTGGTATTTAGATATTTATATAAATTGTCCATCCCTGTCCTATGTAATGTATGATATTACATCCCAATCATAGATATTCATATGATTATAAGATGTTATATTCAGAACATAATAGACAAACTTCCAAGGCTGTCATATTACAGTCCCTTGATGCCCTTATAAACAGAAGAACACTGACATCCTCTGAGTCTAAACTCTGCTGAAGATGTTACCTAGCCTGGTAACAAAACGTTCATAAACCAGCCCTCAAGCTCAGAGAACAAACCTTCACCTTTATCCTATACCTGAGCTACAGGTATTTGCCACTATTTCAAAATAGTCTCTTGATTTCTGCAAATCCATGTAACCGTCATTCATTATAGTTGTGTGATTGAATGGCTAGCCCAATAGCTAAAGTTGATTCACAAAAGCTCAATTGCAAAAAATCACTGTCATTACCTGTACCAGTCTTTGCATTTTTTTTCCTCTTGAAAGAAGTTACAAGGAAGATTAATATTTTACCTTTCTCAAACTGTTTCATTTAAACATACAGTACATTTTAACAATGATCATGCTTCTCCAAAACTCAGAATGCTAATCTCCTCTTCTTCCTTTACATCCTTAGGCATTCTTTATCTCTTGGAACATGGGGAGGAATATATATTCACATTACCTTGTGCCTATGCGCGTTCTATACTTACTATTCCTTGGGTGGAGCTTGGAGGCAAAGTCAATATTCAATGTGCCAAGAGTGGTTACTCTGCTTCGGTCACATTCCACACTAAGCCATTCTATGGAGGAAAACTACACAGGTATGAAAACTAAGTTTTGCTCTCTCCGGATCTCTTAACCTTCCGCCGGATCTCTTAACCTTCCTCCGGATCTCTTAACCTTCCGCCGGATCTCTTAACCTTCCGCCGCGCCCTCAAGACATGGCTTTTTCAACAAGCGGGCCTGACCTAGGGTGAGTTTTAAATAGGGATAATTGTTAATGATTTTAAAGTTTCAGGGGATTTTTAAGGATAATTTTAATTGATCGGCCTATTTAAATATTTCTTTTTAATTCGGCTTTTAATTATTGTATTTGTATTGTAGT